ACAGACCGCGGCCCGCCGGTCGAAGACTGGTGGCCCGCCGACAGCAAAAATAATACTCTCGTACATTCGAAAAATATTGAATTAGAATTCAATATTTTTATTATATATATTTTTTCCAGAATAAAACCAAAAAAAATAATGTTCGAAAAGTAATTTGAATCTCGCGCGCGCGTTCTTAAGTGCGCTTATCGGTGCGCCGTGCATGCGTCGGTAACAGCGGTCTTTAATGTTCGTGCTGATCTCGGTTAAATTCGTTTTCTTGAGGAAGCGGCGCGGCGACGACGGCATTGCGGTGGCGGCTTATCCACGGGTTATATTGTTAGAGCAAGCGAGATAGCAATAGTCCCGAATTCCCGATTGCTCGCGTAGGTAGATACACGAAGCTTCCAGAGTCGGTTTCGAGATATCTCCAGACAGTTTTCGACTCTATACGCACGGTATAAAAGCCACGCTAACCGCAGCGACCGACAGTTCGGTTTTAATTTGAGTGAAGTGTCAATAGTTCTAGTGTAGATTTTAACTCGACTAGCCGGTGTCATATATTTTGATCCACATTCAACGTAGATTTCCCGTCAAGTGCCGTGTATAATTGTGTTGTGAAATCGTAAGTAAAACTGTTATTAATAAGTGTTTTCCTACCTATTTAATCAATTTTTTTTAGTAATTTAAAAAAGGATGGGTAATTTAAGTAGGTACTGTAATTGTTTTTAGGTGCTGTGTTAATCCTAGCCAGGATTAGAACGCAACATGGACAAGCCAGGACCTAGTAAAAAACGTAAGGTTAAAGATGAAAATCGGTAGTTTCAAGAAATTTGAAATGAGAAATACTTTTTTGTATGGTCGCAGAACAAAGTCGTTTGTTTAATTTGCAAGAATTCTGTTGCGATTGCAAAGGAATTTAATGTAAAAAGGCACTATGAAACGCAGCATCCTACTTTTACCAAGTTTACAGGCGAATTAAGAAAGCAAAAAATGTTGTCTTTCAAACGGGAGCTTATTGGTCAGCAAGCTATGTTTACAAAACCCATTCAAGATTCAGAAACAGCTACAGAAGTTAGTTATGAAATTTCTCGAATGATAGCAAAGCGAAGTCGCCCCTTCAATGATGGGGATTTTGTAAAAGAATGCATAGAAATTGCCGCTAAGAAAATGTGCCCAGAAGCAGCAAAAAAGTTTGAGAAAATTCAACTAAATCGTATCCAGACGAATTATGTCTTTGTCATGTAATATTGCGGAACAATTAAATGAAAAAACAAGGATCATTGAATTTTTTTCATTAGCACTCGACGAATCCACTGATATTAGTTCCACAGCTCATCTTCTCATATTCATACGAGGTGTTACTCAAGATTTTGAAGTCTTAGAAGAGTTATTAGGAATGTGTTCATTGAAAGGTCAAACCAGAGGAGTTGATATACTCAATGTACTTTTGCATGAGTGTTCAAAAACTAATTTGGACTTATCAAAATTATCGGGAGTTGCGACTGACGGTGCTCCTTCGATGATTGGTGTCAATTCTGGGATAGTTACTTTGCTGAAAAAGCATCTGCAAGAAAAAAACATAAACGCTGAAGATCTCATGTAGTTTCACTGCATTATACACCAAGAAGCCCTCTGTTCTAAAAAAACTGAATTTCAAAATGTCATGAAAGTGGTAGTTTCGACTGTGAATTTCATAAAATCACGAGGACTCAATCACAGGCAATTCAAACAATTCCTTGATGACATCGAAAGCGAATATGGAGATTTACTGTATTTTACAGAAGTAAGGTGGCTAAGTCGTGGATTGACACTGGAACGATTTCTAAATTTAATAGAAGAAATTGGAATATTTCTGGCGGAAAAGCAAAGGGATATCCCGGAACTTAACAATCCTGATTGGTTGTGTGATTTGGCTTTTTTAGTTGACATTACATATCATTTGAATGTCTTGAACACACGGCTTCAAGGAAAAAAATCAACTGATATCCCAGCTCTACGCTCATGTATCATCCTTTCAATGCAAGCTGACATTTTTCAGATCGCAATTGAATTCTGGAAATTACAATCATTTTCCGAATTATAAGAAAATGACTGAAAAATTCAACAAAACTGCGATTAATTTCAGTTATGTAGAAAAGCTAGATATTTTGATTCAATCTTTTCAAGACAGATTTTCGGAGTTTAAAAAAGTGAAACCTCTTTTGGACATATTCAGCAATCCTTTCACGATTTCAGTTGAAAATGCGCCAGAGTCAATGCAGTTACAAATTATCGACATTCAAAACGACCAAGATTTACGCAACAAATTCAACGAAGGAGACTTGCTGAACTTTTACCGCTGCATTGATAAAAATACGTACAAAGTGTTGCTCATAAACGCTCTGAAATGTGCCAGCTTATTTGGTTCTACCTATATATGTGAACAAACCTTTTCAATACTAAATAATAATAAAACAAAACATCGAAACCGCCTTGCAAATGAAAGTTTGGAACCATTGTACGTGTTGCTACAAGTAAATTTGAGCCAAATATAAAAAAGATTGTAAGCACTATGCAGTGCCACACTTCCAATTAATAAATTCTTTTTCAATTTTAATACATATTTATCAATTTTTTATTGTCTTTGCCAGTAGTATAGGTAATTAATATATATATAAAAAAGATAAAAACCTATACTTCTGGCGGCCCGCCATCAGTTCATAATTTGCCCGAGTGGCCCCTAGTCTTAATAAGTCTGTGCATCCCTGCACTAGACCAACAGGCCAGTCAAATAATGTCTGAAAAGATTTACTTGTAGAAATAAATATCATTTCATCATGTCATTTCATCACATTCCTTATCCAATTAAATACACTAGATACGTTGTGCATTTAATGTAGATTAAAGATGTCCTGTTGTGTAGGATAGTCCTATCATAATAATAGTATACGAGTAATTAACTACTCCATACTGACACCACATTAGTTTTAGTAGCACTCGTGCGAAGCCGGGCGGATCGCTTGTTAAAAAACATTTAAGCACAATGTGTAGCAAATACTTTAAAATATTGTTGCTACGAACGTTCACAGTCGCTTTTCATCTCCTTTACTTTTTACATGCTTTTTAGTGATAATATATTAACGAAGTTACTAATCAACATATTTTAAACACTTTTGATATTAAAATATGTAAAAATGATAGAGGATTTACAAATAATATCTATGTATTCTTCAGGTTTTTACATAACATGGATTGTGCGGTATCTAGGGACGTTACAACAAAAGTTATAAATAAGGGTCTGTACAAACGAGGGAATATGTTTGTCACTTGACAAACATTTATTTTTCTTGTCATTGCGTGTTTTCTTTTTGTTGTAATGCATTGATTCAATTTCAAACTGTTTTCTTTTCACCTTATTGAAATGACTGTTTTTTTACAATAATTCAAAGCCATACACTTAAACATTACTTCACAACAAGCACGCTTATTAATTATTCATACTAATAGAAAAACCTACCTACCTAATACTATATATTATGTATAATATAGGTATATATTACATTTTTTCATATGTAGGCATTAAACGGACACGACAGTGCTCTATCATCTGGCTATGAAAGCCGTGGTGTTCGTTTACAAAGAGAATCGGCAAGACGTGGAGAGAGGTCAAGTACCGAACACGATTGAGAGCTCAGCACACGAAGAGCTCAAGACCGAACACGATTGAGGATTACTGTGGATGTCTTCTGCCCCATCACGGAGACATAGGACATTAAGTCATTAAGTTAATCTAACGAAGACAGGCGGTATTAATTACCACGGTTTTAATGTTTTTGTATTTTGTCGTCACTAAACGACTATTGGTTTTTTTCTAATTATTTAAAAAAATATATTTTTTCTTTTTAACTAATTGCAACAAATTACGAAGTTTTTATTTCTCTATTATGAAAATTTAACGTTATTGGCCAAAATGATAAATCATTAAATAATTTAATCACTGTTATTCGTATTTTATTATAACCTCAACCAATTTTATGTGTATATATAAGAAACGAGTGTGCTTGAGACCACACGACTGAAGTAAAACTTCTTGGTTATGAGAGAAAGGGGGAAAGAAAATGTATGCTCGCACCTCTCTCTTTTGCTCCTACAGTAATACACGAAACGTAACTCTCTCTCTTTCTATCTTCACTAACTTATATCTTCCTCTCAACTTCCGTTCTCCTCGCCCGATCACACCCTTCGTAACGCTCTCGTCACGCATTCACCAGCTTACTCCCCAAGTCAAGCGTGCGGAAACAAGTTTTACTTCATTAAATTGGTTAATTCGTGTTTAGAAACTTAGACGGACCTGACGCAAAAACGACGGGGTGTTATTAGTTTCACGCGTCTGTGTGTGTGTATGTCTGTGGCATCATAGCTCCCGAATGGATAAACCGATTTGGTTTGAAAGGTGATTTAGTCAGCAGCGTTCTTAGCTATCTTTGTTGAAAATGGAGGATTACATATTTTTTCACAAGTCCCTCAATATGGGTATCAAATGAAAGGGCTTGACTAGTAGAATACTATACACTATAATACTTAAAAACACAAGTATTTTGATGGTAAAAAATGTTATACTTTATGCTTACAAAACAAATTTATAGAAAGATTTTTTATTTTTACTCGGGAATTCACATTGATCCTCAATTTCATTATAATACAGGATAAATATCGATTTTTAAATAGATAAGTTTGACACTATTCTGTTCGTGTGTATGTAGATAATCTCTAAACTTCTAGCAATATTTTAATATTTTTATCTTCGCTGTAGCTATTATATTTTAGTAGATAAACGGTTTTTGTTACTAAGCAGCGGTCACAGTTCCGCGCGGGTCAAAGCGGCGAGTGGTATCACGTAAATTTATATAGTCGGGCGGGCCGGAAAGTTGATTGGATAATATCTAAAACAGATAAAGCCGTATCAAATCTATAAATAAGCCGGTTTGCGATTTTAATGTTATACATTATTCAGGTGTTTATTGTAAACATAACCGAAGATGGGGCAATTTTTTGATGCTAAAGATAAAACATTTGTCATTACTGGAGGTGCGTCGGGACTGGGCGCCGAATACGCGCAAGCGTTTCTCCAAAAAGGAGCTATGGTACGTTTTTATTTGAGAGACTGTATCCCCTTTTTTTTTTTCCGTGCGGAAATCCCCTCGGATACCACCTGTCGGTGGCATGTCGGACTCGAACCGACTAAAACCGCACGCCGTCTCGGGTACTAATAGCCGGGGAACCAGTTATACCCTAGAAAGGAAGTCCCTGGTGCCCCGACATACCTCGGGTCATCTACAGACGAGTAGACGACCCCCCCCGTGTGAGAACCCCATGTTCCCTGTGCTCCCTGGAAGCGAGAGCGCTTCGCAACGCGCTCGCCACCACCCCGGCCTGCTTCTGCTAGGGTGACAGATGGCCTCACCTGTCACCCCCAGGCCTGCGCTTATGGAGGACGGAGGTCGTTCTGCGACCTCCGGCGCCTGAGTCGCCTGCGGTACCTGGCCCGTTCTCGGGCCTGGCGGGCCGGGAGAGTCCTAAACCTCTCCCGGTCCCGCTCCGCCGTCTCCTTCGCGAGCATAACTTGCTCGCAGAAGGAGACGGCATAGACGGGATAGCCGCAATCAGGCTATCGAGCGAGAGAACTCCCACTCCGATGGCCGCCACGAGGTCTCGCCTCTGCTCAACCCACGCCGGGCACTCTGCCAGCGTGTGGAGAGCCGTGTCCACGGTCTGGCCATCACAGTGGTGGCACTCAGGCGTTGGCTCCTTGCGGATCAGACACAGGTGATCCCCGAAACATCCTTTCCCAGTGATCACCTGCGTCAGTCGGTATGAGAGGGTCCCGTGACGCCTCTCGAGCCATTCCTCCATAACGGGTCTTACCGCCGCGATGCCGGCGTGCCCGGCGCTCGGTTGCCCGAGTCGTTCCTTCCACTCCCCTATGATGACCTGGCGGAGTTGGGATTTCCGGTCATCGATTTCTCGAGTCTCGGGACACCGACCCAACTCTCGCGCCTCCTTGCGCCACTTATACAGAGCCGCAAGGGCTCTCGCCTCCAGGTCCCACGGTGGAGTTCCGGCCAGGAGACTCGCCGCCTCAAAGGAGATCGTGCGGTACCCCCTTATGATCCTGATGGCCAGCACTCGCTGCGGTCGTCGCAGTATCGCGACGTTGCTGGCCTTCAGGGCCCCCGCCCATACTGGGCACCCGTAAAGGGCCATGGACCGCACAACCCCCGAGTAGAGTCTCCTGCAGGAGTCATCGGGTCCCTTCATGTTGGGCAGCAGCCGCGCCAACGCACGCGCTGCTCCAACCAACTTGGGGACCAGACCTCGGAAATGATATCCGAAGTCCCATCGGCCATCGAGTACGAGCCCCAGAGACCTGATCGAGAGCTCGATGCCGATGCGAGTGCCTCCTACCGTGAGGCTAGATCCCTCAGGCGGCTTCCTCCGAAGTCCGTGGAAGAACAGGGCCTCGGACTTGTGCAGAGCCACCTCGAGACCCAGCCGCCGGATACGCTCAACGACTTCCTCAACCCCGGCCGTGGCCCTCAGGGTCACACGACGACGGCGACATCATCCAAGTAGCACCTAGTCGTAGCCGATGTTTCACAAGAGTGGCCCTAACACCGACCCCTGCGGAACACCGCACGACATTATTTTCACGCCTACCGAGACCGGTCCTACTGGGGTAGACGACGGCTCTCTCCGACAAATATGCCCCGACTAGACTGTATCCTACTGGCAGGTGAACAAATAAACAATAAATAATATTTTTGAGCACTTTGCTTATTTGTGAAGTTTAAGTTCACGCCATCGTCACCGTCATATAAGGTAAGTAAAGTAAGTATAATATTAAAGTTTTCCAATGCATTTGGCCCCCGCTACTTGTATTATGAGATGGAATAAAGATTAGTACTAGTACTAGAGTAGGTACTCTTTATGCACACCATGGATAGCAAACATAATCCAGAATACAAACAGAAAAGTAACAGTGGTACACTGGGCGGCCTTATCGCAGTCTTACAGGCAACTTTTAAATGGACTGTACTTTATCTTATATATAAACTTCTCGTGTCAAAATGTTAGTTACCATACTCCTCCGTAACGGCTGGACCGCTTTTTATGAAATTTTGTGTGCACATCGGGTAGGTCTGAGAATCGGCCAACATATATTTTTCATACCCCTAATTTTTTTTTGATATAATGTATGGCAAAACAACGTTTGACAGGTCAGCTAGTGTTATATATTATGTAGCTTGTGGTGCGTATTTAGAATGAGTATACATTTATTGATGAGTATGACATGACATAGTTATACATACATATACACAAATACATATTCATACACTTATATACATTTATATAAATGTACATAGAATGTACTTAAAAGTACTCGCTGACTGTGTCTGCCTTATAGCTTGCGGTAAGATATGAAATTCCATAGGCCTGCTGCTAGTACTGTGAAAGGAATATATATAATACTCGTAAATAGTTAAACTTTTCTGTTTTATATCTGGTAACTCTTTTGCTATTACGTATGAAATTATCTATTATAAAGTATGAAATTACCGCTCTCCATATGAGCGATAATTTCATCTATCTATCATACTGAGCAGAGGCCGATAGTCTGTCGACAAGCTCCAATACGATCCTTACGCAGTAGTTATGTTCATAAGGTAAACGTTAATAAATTTGTTGTAGGCGGTAGCCATTCTAGATATATCTGAGGAAACTGGAAAACTTACAGCATCGCGTCTTAACAAGCTCTACAATGAAAAAGTAGTATTCGTCAAATGTGATGTGAGCAAAGAAGAAGACATAAAAAATGCGTTCGATTTTGTCGTCGTTCAATTCAGGCAGATTGACGTTCTTATTAACAATGCTGGGATAATGAATGATGCTCCAAATATGTGGAGAACTGCGTGCGACGTTAACTGGGTAATTAGTAATAGACTTTAAAAAACATCAAGGCGTTAACGCTTTGAATGAATGATTTATTTTTTAATTGTTTTTTGTGTATCTAGTTTTATTTTATTTTATTTTTATACTTGCAGCAAGGAGTAGTATCTTTTACTTTAAAGGCTCTCAAACACATGAACAAAAAAGAAGGTGGAGCTGGAGGCACCATAATCAACATCGCTTCCACAGCTGGGTTAAAAGTATTCCCTTGCCTTCCTATATATGGTGGTTCTAAACTGGCTGTTGTACATTTCGGGCAAAATCTTGCGGTAAGCACGAAATAACTATAGTGATATTACACAAATAATTATTTGTGTTAAAACATATTTGTGCATTACTTTTCTTTTTATCTCTCTTCTTTATTGTTAAAATTAATGCTTTCTAACTTATTGTTAAATCATTTTAACTTATTTTTAATAATTTCATTTGTCTTGAATATGTAACATTTTAAAATAGGTAATGTACCTGTCGTTTTTCTTTTTTTTAGACGGATCCCTTCTATGAGAATTCGGGCATAAGAGTATTAACATTGTGTCCTGGACCCACAGATACTCCTTTATTGCATAATTTGGAAACCAGGTCGTATGATCCAAGTCTTGGAAAAGTATTTGCAGATACAGTAGGTGGCTCTAATGTCGAATATCAGAAGTGAGTAAACAATCATTATACATTTTTATAATATACTAGATATCGCATGGTTGACGTATCTTCGACCGTTTTAAATGGTGTGTTTTATTTTATTGACCAGTGTATCTTAAACTGTCGTCGTATAGACTTTTGTGCCATGACAGGTCAAAATATATACTGAACTTCTACAGCTTTATGTTGCTGTGTTTATATAAGTTTCAGAGGGTCGGGCCGCTGGTAAACTTGCTCACTCGGTGAGAAACAACGAAGCAACGAATAATGTTTTAAGTGTAAAATACTTATTGATTTCAGGGTCGAATCGGCGGCTGCTGCTTTGGTTCATATGTTTGAAAACGGTGCGTCTGGAAGTACTTGGCTGACTGTAGAAAATAGGCCAGCTAAAGATATTACTCCAGTTATAAATCGCATTTTTAAAATACTGTCTGACGAAATCAATATACCATCTATTTAATTAATTAATCAATCTTAAGTTAACAATTTTCAAGTTTTCGTATTATCAGAATTACTTAATAAACTGTAATTTTTTTGTAGATTTTATTAATAAATGATAAACAGTGACTATAAATCTGTGTTATTTCTCAATGAAAATATATGTCGGCGCGAAACCATTTCCTTGCGAGTTTGAGCATTTCAATGAAATATAACTGTTGATAATAAAGTCAATAATAAAATTAGCTATCAATTTATGTTCTCATGTAGGATAATTAAGACTATGTTCATTTCACTGTAAAAAGAATTACTTGAGTAAGTTGTTTAATTAAGTCATTTCTAACTGGAATACTGTATTACTGTTAATTACAATTTAAAGATTCTTACTACCGCAAAAATCTTATAATAAAACATAGAATTAAATAACTGTTGGTGAGCAAAGCAATGTCTTAATAATTGTTTTCAAATAATTGTGATTATGAGTCTAACCTATAAATATCCGCTTAACACAGTTGAATTACAAGTATGTATGGGTAATTATAATAATTCTCATTATTTAATTAGACATTTACTAAGTTGTGAAATAAGGTATATCACATCTAATTGTTTTGTAAAGTTTATACAAAACCAACGACATCCGGAATGTAACAACTGTCCCTACCGCCATTGACATTTCACATTCGTTGGTTTTGTATAGGCTAAAGAAATGCACTCACTTTTGGACGAGGAAGGACAAGCTTCAAATAAGATAAGTGTCTAGGCATTCTATTATTTCTCTAAAGACTCTTTTATTATTGTAACCAATAAGTTTTATTGTTTCATATTGTGTAGACAAATTGATGCATGTGAGAAAGTGTAAAATAGTTAATAAATTGATTGACTGGTAGTTTTCTTACTTTTAATCATGAGTGATACGAATGAGATAAGGGGTGACGTCAGCGAAGCTGACGTCACACTTTCCAAAAATAATGCCGCGTCTCCAGCGGCGTTATATATAATTCAATAATCAACCGGATCGGTGAGAGACTGGTGAGACTTCCTTTTGGTACTCGTGCATTCTGGTCTCTTGCCAAGGCTGTCCAGGGGAATTCCTGTGGCCAATCCTTTCAACCCCCGCAGATGGAGCAATCCCCTCAACATTCAAAAGTCGTGTGGGCCCGATGGAATCTCTTCTGTCGTGTTAAAGACGTGTGCTCCGGAGTTAGCACCAGTTTTAACGCGCCTTTTCGACTCTCCTACTCCCAGGGCGTCGTCCCGAACTCCTGGAAGGCAGCGTTTGTGCACCAGATCCCTAAAAAAAGTGATCGCTCTGACCCGTCCAACTACGGGCCTATAGCCATAACTCCTATGTTCTCTAAGATTATGGAAGACTGCCAGCTCCTCCAGTACTTAGATGATCATCAGCTACTCAATATGGTTTTCGCCGGGGTCATTCAGCTGGTGATCTTCTCGTCTTTTTAACACACCGGTGGGCACAGGCGATCCAGACCAAAGGAGAGGCTTGAGCGGTTGCTTTGGACATAGCGAAAGCCTTCGATCGGGTCTCGCATAAGGCGTTTTCTCGAAGTTCCCTTCCTTTGGGCTTCCCGAGAAATTATGTAATTGGGTCACCAGTTTCTTTTGCGGACAAAAGCATTAAGGTTGTTGTCGACGGTGCATGCTCCGATTTGAAATTCGTAATTCGTAAATGCTATCACCCACACTGTTTCTTCTGCATATCAATGACATGTTGCAAACTAGTAACATCCATTACCCTTTACACCGGCCGCCCCAGTATTTCTCGGGAAAACGTCATCGTTAGTCTTGTGTCTGAAATTGAAACTTCCTCAGCGGAGGTTTCAGATTGGGGCCGACTAAATCTAGTAAAGTGCAACCCAAAAAGACATGGGTCTATGTGTTCACCCTTAAGAAGATACCATTTGTCGTATCACCTCGGTTTGAGAACACCTCCCTAACTGCCTCAGCCAGCATCGGAAAACCTAGACATCGACATATCGAACAAAGTTTCGGGGTCACTTAGAGGGTAAGGTGAAATTGGCCTCAAAGAAGCTCGGTGTGCTGAACAGATCGAGGCAGTATTTTACTCCTGCCCACCGCCTTCAGTTCTATAAATCGAAAGTCCAGCCGCATATGGAATACCGTTCTCATCTCTATGCAGGGATCACCTCAGTACCAGGCGTACCATCTTCTCCCTCTGGACCCATCCAACGAAGAGCGACTCGAATCGTCAATAGCCCAAACATCACCGATCGGCGCGACCCCTTGGCGTTACGTAGAGATGTGGTTTGACTCTGCTTTCTCCATTGCATTTATCATGGTGAGTGCTCCAAGGAATAGTTCGGACTAATACCAGCCGCAACCAGACGGCAAAATTTTCATCCTCATCACCTGGAAAGTTGGCGCACAACCAATCTGTGGAACGGGTTATCGTCTGCGGTATTTCCGGACCGATATGACCTTCAAACCTTCAAGAAAAGAGCGTACTCCTTCCTAAAAAGCCGGCAACGCTTTGTGACTCCTGAGTTGCAGACGTTCATAGGCGGTGATGGTCCCTTTCCATCAGGTGACCCGTCTGCTCTTCTGCCCCCCTAACATTTAATGAATTGACCCCGATGACCCCCTCCTCTGTTGGATCCCCCATATTTCCATTGTGCTCTCGAAAGGGCACGCGCGCTCAGCAGCGCGTCTCGCCGCCACCCCAGCCTGCTTCTGCTAGGAGATGGCCTATCTCTGCCGGGCTTGCGCTTATGGAGGATGGAGGTCGTTCTGCGACCTCCGGCGTCTGAGTCGCCTGCGGTACCTGGACCGTGCCCGGGCCTGGCCGGCCGCGAGAGTTCTAAACCTCTCCCAGTCCCTCTCCCCCATCTCCTTCGCATGCATAACTTGCTCGCAGTAGGAGACGGCGGAATTCCACGCACTCTCGCTCCGCACCATGGCCGCAATCATGTTACCGAGCGAGAGAACTCCCACCCCAATTTTCGCCACGAGGTCACGCCTCTGCTCCACCCACGCCGGGCATTCTGCCAGTGTGTGGAGCACCGTGTCCACGGTCCGGCCATCGCAGTGGTGGCACCCAGGCGTTGGCTCCTTGCGGATCAGACACAGATGATCCCCGGAGCATCCTGTTCCAGTGATCACCTGCGTCAACCGGTATGAGAGGGTCCCGTGATGCCTCTCGAACCAATCCTCCATAATGGGTCTTAACGCCGCGATAATGGCGTGTCCGGCGCTCGGTTGACCAAGTCGTTTCTTCTACTCCTCACTGTGGAGTTGGGATTTTTGTTCTTTACTTTCTCGAGTCTCATTACTCCGACCACGCCTCCTTGCACCACTGATACAGAGCCACAAGGGCTCTCACCTCCAGGTCCCACGGTGGAGTTCCGACCAGGAGACGCGCCGCCTCAAAGGAGATCGTGCGGTATCCCCTTATGACCCTGATGGCCAGCACTCGCTGCGGTCTTTGCAGTAGTGCGACGTTGCTGGCCTTCAGGGCCCCCGACCATACTGGGGCTCATAAATGGCCATGGATCCCACAACCCCCAACTGAAGTCTCCTGCAGGATTTATCGGGTCCCCTCATTTTGGCCAGCAGTCGCGCCAATGCACGCGCTGCTCCAACCAACTTGGCGACCAGAACTCCGATTACCAGATACGCCGCAAAATTGCAGGGAGAATGTATTTTAATTCGCTTTGTTTATCTACTTTGAATTAATTATATATCTATATATTAGCATCATATTAAAGGGAAATGAATCAAGTTTTGTTTTTAAGTATTTTGTTGGTAAAAAATGTTATACTTTATGCTTACAAAACAAATTTATAGAAAGTTTTTTATTTTTACTCTGGAATTCATATTAAACCTCATTTTCAATATAATACAGGATAAATGTCGATTTTTGAAATAGATAAGTTCGACACTGTTCTGTTCGTGTGTATGTAGATAATCTCTAAACTAATAGCAATATTTTTATATTTATATCTTCGTTGTAGCTATTATATTTTAGTAGATACAACAGTTTTTGTTAAAGCGGCGAGTGGTCGGACGTATCACGTGAATTTAGTCGCGCGATAATATTTAAAACAGATAAAGCCGTATCAAATCTATAAATAAGCCGGTTTGCGATTTTAATATTATACATTATTCAGGTGTTTATTGTAAACATAACCGAAGATGGGGCAATTTTTTGATGCTAAAGATAAAACATTTGTCATTACTGGAGGTGCGTCGGGACTGGGAGCCGAATACGCGCAAGCGTTTCTCCAAAAAGGAGCTAAGGTACGTTTTTATTTGTGAGACTAGTAGATTTAGAATAGTTTTTTTTATCCCCTAATCCCCTTATCGGGTGACACGATTTTCACTGTCTTTAAACGTTGCATTGCTGAAGGAATATTTCCTCGTATATGGCGGTGCGGTAATATTCGTATAATACCAAAAAGTGGCGACAAGCCACCGGATGATCCTAAATCCTACCGACCAATCACATTTTTACCATCGTTAGGAAAGCTTTTAGAACGTCTTGTAGTCAAATTTCATGATAGACGATTTGGATTTACGTTGGGTAAATCGACAACTGACGCTGTTATATCGGTTAGAAAGTTTGTCACAGGGTCAAAATTTCAATACGTGCTGGCTATTTTCTTAGATATATCTGGCGCCTTCGTCAACGCATGGTGGCCCATGCTGTTGCTGAAATTAAAATCACGGGGGTGTTTTAAAAATATTTATTCCCTTATCTCTTCGTACTTTTCACAAGGTACAACTAAACTAAGACTTGGTCATCATTCTGTGTAGAAGGCGCTTACAATGGGATGTCCTCAGGGATCGGTGCTAGGTCCATACTTGTGGAATATCGGCTTCGACGATTTTCTTGCGATACCAATACCATCCGGATGTACTCTGAACGCGTATGCTGATGACGGCTTATTACTGGTGGAATCTGATACTAGGGCGGGGCTTGAGAGATTAGCCAATAGATGTTTGAACTTAATATCTCAATGGGGTGAACGTAATCGCTTAACTTTT